CACAAGACAATACACAACATCGAGCTTCATCCATTCTCCATCAGCGCATAGCGTTTGCACAATCTAAAAGAGTACATTGACACTTCGCTGCTAAAAACAAACACAAACAAACAGAAACACAGACTGACCTGCGCAAGGATAGGCACTAACTGTTGCTCATATTTACGACAAAGGGCTCGCACAAGTTCTATCGCACCCCGTCTTCGCGTACATGAATCCGTGCCTAAAAGCGGAATAGAAATTTGGAGGAAACATTACTGCAAGGCGAAATTACCTTCAATGTCCTTCTTCATGAACTCAATAGGTTCGTCTTCAAACTGCTCCAGATCTTCTTGTCGCAACTGCATATTCTTTACGCATACATCTTCTGAAGAGTCTTATATCAAAAACACAGAAAAAAAAAGAATTCTTTTTAAACAATGAACCGTTTACTGATAGGTGTATGAAGCTTACACTTACGTGCTATGGTTTGCAATACACCTTCCCCAACGAAATAGCTTTCGTAGTGAGGCTTTTGAGAAATAATTGAGAGGAACTCCAAAGCGGAACATACCATACCGTCGTATCTAATATTTACAGATAGAAAATAAGCTTCAAAGGGTTTTGCGAAGGGTTAAAACGTACAGACACACCTCGTTTCACTGTTTGTTTGCACAACAAGTTGCCATACCGCCTGGATGATATTCTGCATGAAGGGGCTGATTTCCTCTTCAAATCGCTGCGCGTATAGCGTGAATATTTCACAAACTTCCATCTAAACATCGTGAAAAATAAGAAAATGAAGTCACAGGCCAGACTATACCTTTAGTTCATCAAGATAAGTAGGTTCACCACCACTGGAAGTGACGCTGGGACAATCCATCTTCATTATTTCTAGGTACCCATCCATCCATGGTTTTATATTATCCTGAATGATAAAAATGCGAAGGAAAAAAGACAATGTAGTCATTCAACGGTCATGCTTGCACATAGATTACAACATACGTAGCTGAAGCTTGGACTGCCTTCAAGTGAAGGAATGACGAGATAATTGTCAAGTAAGAAATAGCATGTAAGCTGCCACTTACCTCAAAGTACTCAGGCAAATCTTGGAAGCACAAGGAATGAAACACTTTGCTGACAAGACACAGAATCTCCAGCCACTGTACGACGGATTCAGCTGACATTGTGTTCCGCTGTGGGATGAACTCCAGCATTTTCGCGTAAACCCGAGTAAGAGGCTCTTGCACCTACAAATTGAATGTACACTTGTGATGATAAAAAGCTAGACTTATGAAAGATGTAGGCACTATGATATTAGGTTGGAACATAAGTCTTGCACCAAAATTTTTTGAAATTCCGTAATTTCCTCCAGGTTCAATTGTTCGAAATAAAATAACTAGTGAACCAGCAATGTATAGGGCTAGATTCGCAAGCGCGCGCTGGGACCGCCCTCGGT